ACCTGAACTCTGAAGGAAGATGCGAGACTGGACGGCTTGAAAGAGGGGATTGAGGTCGGAGATGGGGCTGCTGGTCACGATGTTCCCAGCTACGGATGAAACATTCCGGATCTGGCGACCGGCGAACCATCTCAACATCTCTACTACCTCCACCCACACCTTCGTCTCCCATTCTAGAGACATATCCCATGAAATGCATCATATCTTGAGGCTAAATGGAATAATCTGGAAAAGAGTCTCACCTGGTCGAGAGTCGATTTCCTTTTGAAGGGTCTCCTGAATCGTGGTCAAAGTCACGGAACCCCCAAATTTAACCCCAGTATCCCGAACCTGCACTTGGTGCAGTTCTTGTACTGCCGTCGGACTGATCATCACGGGATACTTGCAATCCTTGAACTTGATCTCCAGAGCTAATGGATGGATCATACACTACTGTATCATTCCGTTCAATTAGAATTCGATAGTCATTGTTCTCGTGCTTACCGACTTCTGTATTGCCATGAACTATCCTGGCCTCTGGATATGCTGTTTTCAATCTTAACATTTCTTCCAGGGATGCCGGTCGATACCACGTCACGCGAGATCCTTTAAATACAAGGCTGTCAGCCGCGTACTTCGGATTCAGCTTTTGGTCGAAAAGATATCGCATGAATGCAAATTCTCATGGGTATGGAAACTTCTTACAACCAAAATCAGTTGATTGAAACCTGCCTGAAGTTCGGGAGGGAAAATGGGTTCTTGAGTAGGATCGAAAGGGATAAGGTGGCTCTGTTGAACGAGTCGAGGATACTCTTCCTCTTCTGGTGTCGTGGTATCAGCGCCGTTCATGCATGTGCATTCACCTCCATTCTCACCTTTGCAGCACTGAAACTCCGACGTGAAGGTTTTGAGTCCCTCGATTATCGGCCTGTATCCAGTGCACCGACAAAGGTTCCCTATAATAATTCGTAATTAATACAAAATTTAATCAAAGTTGGAGACTAAGAAATGAAGTCCATGATTCAAATTTATCGAGTAAGATAACGTTCATACAGGTAATTTTTTTAAATCTGACGACCTGTATGAACGTCGATATTCAATTCGATTTTAATCAGATTTTTCAATCAGATTTCAATCAGATTTTCTGTTTGTTCTTGCACCATCAATCAAAAATCTTATTTATGGTGCTGGTACACAATGCTGAGGATATATCGTTGATTTATATACATAACCTCTATCTCTTAAACTTTTGAATCAGTATGCTTTATGCATGAAAATGTTAAATATACAAGTTGACGATGTACGAACAATTAAAAAAAGCAGTTGATAGCAGCTGGGTATGAACAAAGAAGAGCCAATTCTGGCAAACCTTGTAGATATTCGTCCATTTCATGGATGGAAGGCTTCAAATTGTTTCTCAGCAGAGCGTACATGGACATGACGATGCC